GAACAACATTGCCACCTAGTTGTAAGGATGCTGCTACAATTCCCTCTCGTCGAAAGATAAAATCACATCTTCTTGCAATCAAAACTCAATGGAGGACACAGATAAACCTCCAAGTGGCCTCAACGACCCTCTAAAAGGGTGCAAATGACCAGCTGGCTGCAAGGCATCCTTCCTGTCAGAGCTGAAGAAGCTTCTTGGATGAGAAGTGAAACATCTTCAAAAGAAAAAAACAAGAAAGCCCAGTTGCCTCCTGAAAAAAAGCACCTCTGGGACAACCATGATCCTGTCAGCTGTTCATCTTCCTCCTTGGATTCAGACTCCAACAAGGGCATGACAAGAGAGGAGGAGACGAGAGGAGACAAGACATTTTTTTCCAGATTTTTGGATCATCACACATGAATTTGATGTTTATTGCTTTTTTTTAAGTGTTCAAAAAACTTACAGATGGGGTAATGTCAGTCCAAATCCAATGCTGTTGGGCATACTAACAGTGACAGTAGTAGGTGTCTGAATCTGACAATATGAAATAATTACCGAAAAACAAAGATATAAACATGTGCGTGATGATGCCTTAACATCAAACCAAACAACAGCAAAGTCAATAAGATTGTCATTTCTAATATTTATCAATGCAAAAAAACCACGTGGTGAATTTCAACCGTTATTTTCCAAGGAGCCAGCATAACTTTTTAAAAACAAAGAACCTTTGCTTATTTAATGCAGCCAACTCTTATTTTTAAAAAATAACCACACTACATCAGGGAGGGGAGACGTGCTAGTTTGTTATGCTTTTCTTTCAAAGGTCAAATGAATTAATTCAACGAGGATATTAAAAATGATCTTTCAGAGACCATTACCATTAAAAATGGAACTGTTCCCCTCCCCCAGGATGAAAGAGTTGTTTAATTGAGTTACATTTGTAGTGCAAATACCCCTAGAAGTGCAGATTTACTTCAATCAGTGGCAAACCACTCAATGAGTCTCATCATCATCGTGTAACTAGGTTAAAACTTTTAAAATCACCAACATGCACATTTGTTTGAAAACAAATACCAGTAAATGTGATCTTAACCAATCATTCTGATTAAAATTTTGATTGCACAGTGATGAATCCTAGAATATTTGCTGACTACCTGGAGTCTTTTAACTATCTCAATATTCCACAGACAGAAAAAGGATATATTTTCAGTGCACAACGATGCCTGCACTCCTAATGAAAAATAATAAAACATATTTTTTTTTTATAAAACTGTTTTAAAACCATAATCTTCTTCAGTGTAATATGCTTCTAAGTGCAACATGTATAGGAATATCTTTCATTTGTTAAGTGGCTCTGGAATTTTTAAAGGTGATGTTTGAAGTGTTATCAACTACAATTGCTTGATATCTGACTGAGCAACTGGAATTAAAAGGGGAAACGACTAGCTTTGCATTCAGAAAACAAAGGCTTGTGGCACAATGAATCAAAAATAAATAATACAACATTTTAAGGCATAGTCAACTATAAAGATATGAAAGCTTGAGATTCTGCCAATACAGAGAAAAGGAAAGCTATCTCCTTGACCCTGATATCAAAGCATTCAACCATGATACAACATTAGATTAAAAGTAACAGAAAACCATATTTATCGCATTGGCAACAACAAAGAGTAGTCCCCAAAATTATAGGGTGATGTTTGGCTTCTTCGTGGTTCATGATGTCAGCGTCCCCCTGGCAAGTTTTAAAAACACACTGTGAGTAAGTAGAATTCACTTTCCTCTTTGGAGAAAGAATTACACATTAGCCCCTGAAATGGGAAATAAATCACTCCAGCATGCTCCTAAAATTGAAATTCCTTGAGAAATTTGCAGCCCTTGAGGTTTAGCCTGGAATTTCCTCCAAACCCTTTTGGTGTAACCTCGGTGAAACCCTTAGAATGACAAGCAATTACCATAGGGTAAAGGACTCCAGAAGTTTACAACCAGGTGGAAATGTGTCAAATTATAACAAAGCTTATAATTGTACTCTGTAGGTATACTATGTGAAAAAAATTTGGGACGTAGTAGACGAGCAAGATCTTTAGTAAGCACTGTAACACTTTCCTCCTCTGTGCAACACGATTTGAGAAACGGAAGAAAAGGTAAGGCATGGGCAATACAAAAAAATCTAAGAGTTGCTTAAGAAAAGAGTTGCTGAGCCTTAAATTCTCAGTTAGCTGCATTTGTGCGTCCTTGCTCGGAGGGAAGAGTTTTTCCACTGGAGTTTACTGACTGCATGTGGAATTCCTTGAGATTTTCTAACAGCGCTTTCCTCTCCAGTTCCAGAGCGCGGATGGTCTGGTTCAATTTGCCTTCACTGTTAAGCAGAACCTCGATCATGGCTTCTAGGTTTTGGATCTTCCCATTAGCCATCTTGAAAAAATAGACAGGAAACAAGGATATTGATGACAATGGAAGAATATACAACACCAGTAATCAACAAGGCCCACTCGTCAAGTCTCAGCTGTCAACCCTGAATGGACATGGTCAATGACAACCGATATTGGGGTTGAATTCCAAATTTTTGGAGGTCACCAGGGCAACCATCCCTGACTACTCAACAGGTTTCCACCCATGTCAGATGAAAGTCCAGTTGCCTCCTGAAAAAAAAAACACTTTTGGGACAACTATGACCTGGATGACTGAGAATCTCTACAGACTTTTAGCTGTACAATTTGGGATGAACAGCCTTTGAATATTGGAGTATGAATGGATTTTCAAAACGTTGCAGACTACAGGAACCATTTGCACTACTCAGGTGACCCTAAGGACACAGATAAACCTCCAAGTGGCCTCAATGACTCCCAGAAAGGATGCAAATGACCAGCTGTCTGCAAAGAATATAAATCCTTCCATTCCCCACCATCCAGTCAGAGCTGAAGAAGCTTCTTGAATGAGAAGCGAAACGTCTTCAAAGAAAAAACAAGGAAGTCCAGTTGCCTCCTGAGAAAGCAACTTTGGGACAACCATATCGTATGAAACCACACCGGATTCAGGCTGGAACTTACATGCAGAGTGAAGATGGAATGAAAAACACATTTTTAGACTTTACTAATAGGTGTTACCTAAATCCCATTCTGATTTGGGATTTCTACCTTGTTTGAGAACAAGTGAATGAGTTGGACTTCCTGTTGCAGTAAATCATTTTAATGTCTACAGGATATAAATAATTGGGTTGAAATTTGGGAATCCCTAAAGAACTGATCCTTAATGTCCTTTTCTCCAGTCATTAGGATGTTTTATTTATCTAATTTATACAGCTGGCCATCTCATAAATATCTGACTTTGGGTAGAGTCCCACCAAACTAAAACAATGAATATGTACAATCATTATCATTAACAAATATTAAAAACATTAAAAACTATTTAAAACATTAAAATGTCAATAATATTTGTAATACATTTTTAAATGTTCAATTGACTGAGTTTCATGTTTAACGAATAAAAGTATAATAATAATAATAATAATAATTAATAATAATAATAATAATAATAATAATAATAATATAGTAACAACTACTGGGAACATCAGGTTGAAAAGGTTCTGGAGAATGAAAAAGTCAAGATCTTGTGGGACTTCAGAATTCAGACTGACAGGCACTTGGCTCACAACACGCCTGACATAACAATAGTTGAAAAGAAAAAGGGTTGGATCATTGACATTGCAATACCTGGTGATGCATGAATTGTAGACACACAGCAAGAAAAAAATCTCAAACTACCGGGACTTACAAATTGAAGTTGAGCGACTTTTGAAAAAGAAATCGTGTGTTATCCCCATTGTAACTGGAGCCCTTGGAGCAATACCTAAAGGGCTACCTGGCTATTTGGAAATCCTGAATTTATCAGACTTGAATACCCTGATTCTACAAAAAAGCCACCCTATTTAGAACAGCTTATATCTTCTGATGCTACCTGAACAGTTCCTAGGTCCTTGGTTAGGACTCGAGCTGTTGAGCTACTAACCAGCCCCAAAGGCTGTGAATCTCACTAAAAATTAGCGAACAATAACAATAATAGAATAATAGATAAAGGGATCTTAATAGTAATAGTTCTTTGCTCGATCCTTTTCTTGCAGACATTTAACTACCCAACTAAGTGACAGCATCAGTACTAGAAGAGAGTGGGGTTTATTCTATTTATATACTGATGCCTCCAAGTGTATAAAACCCTTAAATCTTAAATCAGGAACATCATTTTGAATTTGTGTGTGTCTGTGAAATCTTATGGCTAGCCCAATTGGTTTATAGAAAAAAAATAGTGCAAATTAATTTTTGACAAAGGGAAACTTATTCATTGTTGATAGCATCCAGCAGAAATAAATGCAACTTCTCTCTTGACTTGCTTAATATCTTGTTTAATGTGTGGACGCGTGAAATTCGGCCCATACCTGCAGCTCTTCAAGGAGATCAAAGTTTTGCTTCCGCAAGTTACTGTTGGCCTTTTCAAGTTTATCCATCCTTTGATTGTCATTGAGAGAGGAATCTATTAATTCATCCTGAAGGACATGGTATTCAACTTCATAAGCTTGAAGCTGTTTGGAAATATCCATCTCAAATACCTGCCGTGGGAAGGGAAAAATAAACAGAAAACCATCTGAACGTCAAATTTGTCTCCTCGTATCATATTAACGAAACCAGGGGATTTGAGAATGCCAGTATTCTCCTTTCCTGTCTATCCTAACCTTCTGCAACCTCCTGGCTAGGAAAGTCAATGGGGAAACCAGATTCACTTAAGAATCATGTTACTAACTTAAGAACTGCTTTAAAGCAGTGGTCACCAACTACTGGTGGTCCACGAGAAAATTTTGGTGGTCCGCAGAGAAATGTCACCCCCAAAACACCCCCCAAAGCAATTAATCTAGGCTGCACGGGAACACAAGGCTGCGCCGCCTACAGGGCCTGCAAGAACACAAGGCTTGAGTCACTTGCATTGCAAACACCATGAGGTAGTGAGGGGAGGGGGGAAAGGGCGAGGGGGGAGAACTTGCCCCATTTGCCCCATGCACCTCGCCTGGCCACCGGGCTGTTTCTTTCCGCTTCTTCTGCTTTTGGCTGCATGCAAGGAAAGCAGCAAAAGTCTTTCTTTCTCTCCCCCAAACTCCACCAGAAATGAGTCTTTGGGACCCTGCAAGGCCTCCTGCTCCAAGAGGCTGCACCAGCGTTACAAGTCTTACAAAGACTCATTTCTGGCAGAGTTTGGGGGAGAGAAAGAAAGACTTCTGCTGCTTCTGCTGTTTTCCTTGCATGAAGCCAAAAGTCTCTCTCCCTCCCTCCCTGAGAACGGAGCTGGAGACAGTATCCTGTGATCCCAAATGAAGAATGATTGATTGGTAGGAAAACGGGGTGGGGGATCTCCCTGCAGACTTTTTTTGGGATTTTCCAAGGGTTTCTGGTCCGCGGGATTTAAAATTATGAGTTTGGTTGTCCCTGAGGTCCAAAAGGTTGGTGACCCCTGCTGTAAAAAGTTGAAGATGGGGTGAGATTCTACTGGTTCGGAGCGGTTCGGGCGAACCCTTTGTTCCAGTGATCAATTGGCTTCAAACTGGTTCACTGGGGGAATCCCACCTTTGGTTAAAGACTAGTGAAATGTTGGTGCCCAAGTATTCTAAAGCAGCAAATCCGAAGCACTGCCAATCAGAAAGAATGCTCATCCTGTAGTTGCACAGTTGAGATTGGACACACTGATTTAAATCTATTTTTTTTAAAATGAGAAAAAGTGAAGAGGATTGACTTTTATTGTTTGATATATCCCATGATGCACCTCTCTGTTTTTACTCTTTCACAAATGATTTTGCGTGAGAGAAAGATTAGGCCGGCCCGTACTGCGTCAAATTTGCCTTTTTTTTTTTTTTTAAACGTACACAGAGCATTTGCATTACGTTTCTTAGGATATTCACGCTAATCTCTGCAGGAGATAGGATGTTGTTCAAGCTTACTCCAAAGCTTTACTCTGTGCCAAATAAAACAGGAAAGCGCGGTGAGGAATATAGCCCCCTCCCCTTCAACACAAAACATCTTAAAACAGATCTGGCTATTGTTTAGAACTATGTTAATTCTGTAGAAGGAAATTCCAACCAAATAAAGCTGCAGTTCGGCTAGGAAAAAAAAACTGGTCTCAATTACACGAGGAAGTTGTTCTAAATTTTGCAGCTTCTACTTTTCCCTGGCAATACTCCACTTCATACCTGGTTAATGGTTTTTTCCATCTGTACCAAGCCTAGATTGGGAAGAATACTTTTAATGAAGTCAACGATTGTTTCCAGGTTTTCGTGCTCCAGAATCAAAGGCTTATGGCTTCCCAAAAGGCTCAGGGCCACTTTAAATAGAACTTCTGGTCCTTGGAGAAGCATCAAGTCTAGGGAAGAGAGGAGAAACATTAGGAAGAGAGTTTGAAGAAGATTCTATTCAATCCCTGAAGTTTCTGTTCATTTATTCTTTAGTTATAGCTACAAAAATTCCCCCCAAAATAAGACCCGGTCTTATTTCTTTTAGGCTTGGAAATAAGCACTCGGGCTTATTTTCGGGAAGGTTTTTTTTTTTTTTTAAAGTGCAGGAGGTGGCGAGCACAGGAGGCCGACAGGAGTGGGAACACAACTACTGCTGGCTCCACCCTCTCCATCCCACTGTCTGCTTGCCTGTGACTGCAACGGGCCAAACTCTCGGCATGCTCCATCCTCCATCCATGTGGGGCGCCTCCATGTCCCCAGCCCTGCCCTAGCTTGATTTTTACACTTGCGCCTTGCCCCACCTCATACACCCAGAGGTGGCTGGGGCTTAACCAGGGCTTATTTTGGGGGATAGGGCTTATATTGGGCACACATGGAAAAAACCAAGCTAGGGCTTATTTTCGGGATAGGTCTTATTTTCAGGGAAACACAGTAAACAGCCTGGAACCTGTTGGATCACTGTTTCAGAGATACTTTTTCACCAAAACAGAGACACAGAACGACCACAGGCGGGCCAAAAAGCAGCAGAGCGGGAACAACTTGAAACTTCCAATAGGATTGTCCAATGATGTTCCTTGTAGGAAAGTGACAGGCAGTGGCTGGAAATGACAATCACAGGAACATAGTGTGGTGGCACACTGCGATTGCAATGCAACGATGCAGCAGCACTGAAGTAGCCCACAGCTTTGTAGAATTTAAATCGCATAGGAGTTGTGGGTCTCAGATTTTGGATTTGCATTGTGTAGGTTAGCCCCTTGGAGGTTTGGTGAGTCAAAAATTGTTGGCCTAGGAGCCACCCAATTTTGGCCAATTGAAGATCACAAACCAAAAGACACAGGAGTTAATGAACTACAGATAGTCTTCGATTTATAACAGTTCATTTAGCGATCTTAGAACAACACTGGAAAATGTGACTTATGACCATTTTTCACACTTACGACCGTTGCAGCATCCCCGTGCCCACGTGATCCAAATCCAAGTGCTTGGCAACTGACTCCCAGTTATGACGGTTGACCTTCTGTCAAGCAAAGTCAACGGGGAATCCAGATTCACTCAACAACCAGGTTACTAACTGATCGACTGCAGTGATGCCCTTAACAATGATGGCGAGAAATGTCATAAATTGAGGCCAATCTTTTTAGGTTGTGGAGTAAAACATTTATGAAGTGAGTTACACCCCTCCACTGTCTTTTACGACTTTTCTTGCCCTAGTAGTTCTCCAGGGATTTCATTGCATTTGTTAAGTCAGTAACAGGGCTGTTGTGTGAATCTGGCTTCCCCATTGACTTTGCATGTCAGAAGGTCACCGAAGGGGATCGCATGACTCCCTTGGGACCCTGAATGTTAAACACTGACCTTGGAGTGGTCACAGGTCTGAAAATGGTCATCAGTCCCTGTTTTCAGTGCCATTGTAACTTCGAATGGTCACTAAACAAATTGTGGTAAATCCAGGACTACCTGTATAATACGTTTACTGATTTTTTTTTGTCAGGTTCTCATGAGACGTTCAGGGATTCTGGGAATTGAAGTCCACAAGTCTTAAAGTTGCCAAGTTTGAAGACCCTTGGTCTACTTAGCAAGGTTTGTGGTCCTTCCTTCCTCTCCTTTTTCTCTTTCTTTCTTTCTTTCTTTCTTTCTTTCTTTCTTTCTTTCTTTCTTTCTTTCTTTCTTTCTTTCTTTCTTTCTTTCTTTCTTTCTTTCTTTCTTTCTTTCCTCCCTCCCTCCCTCCCTCCCTCCCTCCCTCCCT